TTCCGATTCATTGCATGTTAACGGAAATGTTAACTATATTAATTATTAATCCGTAAAAAAAATTTTGATTGAAAAAACAAGTTTTATTTTTTTTTCTTGTTATTGATATACATACATCGATACGGATTTATTTCGTGTGCTTTCAATTTTATACGAGAATTGATAAAATAAATAGGAATACAAAAAACGATTCAAAGAATTGACTAAATCTCTATCTATAACACTTACACTCTTGTCTTCATCCTCCTCGCTGGTCAAATTTCTGGAATCGTCCAACAGTATCTTCTCTATGTCCGGCGATTTATCGAATTCGACCCATTTGGATCGTCCCTCCAGCTTTCTCGATAGTATATCGGACTCGTAACTACCGCCATACATAGGATAACCGAGATGACCAGAATCGTATTCGACCTGATTGCCATAGCGGTAACTCGGATTGGCCGAGCCTTGACTGGATATCGAGAGATCCGATTGCGACAGACCGGTATTGGTGCTTCCGAACAATCGCGTATTTTCGAAACCTGCGAAACCACGAGATAAAAGACGGATGTTAGAAGATGAGGTATCACGTGCATCGCGAGGATAATTACCTGAAGATCTATCGTCTGGTATCTCCTCTCTATGTACCAGAGCCTGTTGATCGGTGACACCGGCCGTCATGTCGTCGGAAGATCCTTTGGTACCTTCCGTCTCTTCTCTATCATAATCCGGCTGTATCTCTACCACAAATGAGCATCCGCTATCCTTGTATCTCGATGTGGGTTTATCTTCCATTGTTACCTGAAAGCGAATATCGCCATAATTATAAAATTATAAAATTTTCTCTGCTATTATCTTTGTTAGGAATAATATTCCATATAATCCGCATTTTTTTCTGAACAAAAAATTAATTTCTGCTTTTTTGACGTTAAAAATTTCTAACTTATCGAAATAAGATTTTGTTAAACGATAAATTCTTGAAATTGACACAAAGAATAAGAGATTTATAGTAAAAGTAACATGAAATAATAAAAATTATTTAATTGGTGCAAAATTATTAATAATAATAAAATTAAAATAAAATATTTTATTATTAAAAGAAATGAAGTATTTTAAAACTAAACTCGTGCCGATATTAAATACCAAGCTTATCACTCGGTCATACATTTCAAATTCTCCCACGGAAAATCACATAATGTGTCTACGGGAATGCGTCCTCGGCACCCTGACCCTCAAGGTCGATCTTTTGGATACCGCGGGTAAGACGAACCATCCCCCACCGCTATCCGTCTCTTTTTGCTCCAATGAATTGTTGCATATGAGACGTTTCGATAAAACGATTTCAATAATTTTTAAATAATTTCGCGGAGAAAATAAAATATGTCTATTATATTTTTAAAAGGATATTAATTTTTTAAAGTTTTTTGAAATAAAGAACCATTTTCGCAATTTTCTTTTAATCACATATAGATTTGAAAGTAAAAACAAAAATAAAAAAAATTATAAATAAATAATTTAATAAATCATAGAAAAACATTTTACATTTTTTTTTTTTTTTTTTTTTTTTTTTTTGTTTTAACGTGGGCTCTCGAATTACGGACACGAGTCGACTCCACGCCTTTTCCTTGTTCGAAAGTTGGGGCGTTTTGTACAGGTACATACGTGCGCGAGAGGAATGAATTGAATAAGAGCGCGAGTAGAGCGAACGGAAAATGAAAAGGCGCATAAAACTGAGGGAAAGGGAGGGAATGAGAAAACAAGGAATATGCACTAGGCATAGAGAGAAAGAGAAAACGAGGTGTAGACGAAGGCGAGCGATCCGGAGAAAGATTTCGAGGATTCTCGGGAACGGGCCTCCGCGAAGACGAGGCTTTAAGTAGGACGATAGGTGGGGGCAAAATTGCCGGGTAACCTCCGACCTTACAGGCCAAATTCGATAATTACGAATCTGCTTCCCATCCCGAAACGAGCGAGTCCCCGACCCGGTTTTGCGAGCATCGTCAACGGAATTTCGCTACGACGGTTTTTACAGTATATATCTCGCTAATTAGAATAAATATCAGTCGTTTGCGTAAAAAAAGACTTTAGAACTATATCGCATTCGGTTGCAATAACAACGCGTCAGATATTCATTTTTTTTTTTTTTTTTTTTTTTTTTTTTTGCAAGAACATACATACCGCACGTTCCTCCGTTTCTACGATAAGATGATTATTCTTGAGAGTAAGGGTGATGATGTTTCCGTTTGAATTTTTGCTAGTATGGTTACCAGAAGTAGTGTACTCCATCATCGTCGCTGCCGGGGTGACATTTACGTCTTCTATCACCTCTGTTTCGCATATATATCGGGGTGCATCTAAGCTATCCACCAACTGAAACGTATAAAAGCATGATCGTATGTTAAAACATGTGCAAAAGTTGTGAAAATAAAAAGTACATAATAGTATCTATAGTTATATATGATTATATTATCAAAAATTTAATTTTCCGCACATATTTGTGAATTAATATGACCGATATAGCAAATATTTTTGCTCTTACAATTTATATATACTTTGCATATATATTATATATATAT